ACTTGAGAGCTCTATTTGAAGCTCTATAATGGAAAGCGGTTTTGAGAGAAACGTTGTGTTAGAAAAAGGATATTCTTAAATCGGAGAAGAAATGAACAAACTACTATTATACCCTTGTGGTCTTTGGCTAAAGGGTTATGCTTAAGTCCAGACCTTGAGACTAAAACGTGATGGTTAGAACTGTTATTATTTTTGTGAAGATTTTAATAAGAAGTTCTTTTAATAATGCTTAATCCAAAAATTGAGGCGGAGGGTGTTACCGTAATTTGTCACAACGTAAGAGCATACTGAGTTTGAAACGTTCGGTCTCATTTAGTTGATACGTTCGAAGAAAACCAAGAGAGAGCTACCTTAACAAAAAAAGTTTGTTATCTTTTTCTTCTTCTGATAATAGGTTTTGTTATTTTCTTGGTCATCGAAGTTTATTTTATTCTTAAGGATTTTGAACTCTTTTTTCCTTATCTTTTTCAGAGCTTTTTGTACTATACTAGAAGCAAACAAAGATCTAGATGATGACTATATATATCCTTGTCGATTCAATAATATATTATACCATTATTGATCCCGTTAAATTAGTAAGGAAAAAAACGAGATACAATTGCAACAAATAACATAAAACTGGATTAAACGGATGTATCATTCACTTTGTGAAGAGATGTACACTAAAATACATATTTTTGTTATCCTTTAAAAAATATTACGAATACTGTATCTCTAAAACCGATTATAATAGGAAAAAGTGGAAGATAGAAAATATGTGTTTGGCTTGAGTCACATGATATGTTCATTTTTGTTGGCTAGTTAAGTATGAAAATTATTTGAGCTTCCTTGTTCACTAGGTTCCAATATATTTATTTGTCACTTCTTTGAATACGTAAATCTCTTGCATATGGCAATTCCAACTATCACTCTCTAACGTATCCCCACCTCAAATTCTCTGCTCACTCTTATCTCTCTTTTATGATATTAATATTTTTAGACCATTGCTCTATATATTCGCTGTTCTTTAGAAAAATTATTAAATGAAAATTTGACATGTATTCTATTTGGCATATCTTTGCTCCCTATATTATTGTAGATGTCCCTCTATTTTTTTTTGTGGCACAATTTGAAGATGAATCGAAAAACATGCCCTACAAAAAGTCAAAAACCAATTATTTTGAAATATTTAAACCGTATATTTGTAGAACTACAAGAAATCCTTCGATTATAATGTTACAAACCCACAGCAAGCCAAACTAAATCGAATACAAATTTGTTTGTCAACTATTTGGTATATATCTTTAGTTAAAACCAAACAATAACAGATTGCATTCTCCATATATCTTCATCTTCTTCTTCGACACCACATTTTTTGTAATTCTTACAGTTAAATGACTTTACATCCTAAAATGTTTCCTACAACACAACACCAAGAGATTATTACCTAAAATAAATGTCCACGTGAAAATCCAAAATCTTTTATAATGTTTATATTTTATTTAAGGTTTTTAAATGCAAATATTAATCATTTTGGTAAGGACCATATATGTAAATATACTCATGTTAATTCTTCTTCCAAGTTCCAAACTTTCGTCGTCTCCCAAATTTCTCCTTTTCACCTCTCGCTTTGAAATTCCCCGCCAGCTGTATATCCAACTCTGTCTCTCCGATTCTCAATCCCGACTTCTTTCCGTCGGATTCCGGTCACCGGAGTTCCGTCGTCGCTTCGCTTTAGTCTTTTCAAAGAACCAGGTTAGGGTTCTATTTCCCTCCACTTGTTTTCCTAATCCGCTGGGAATTCTAATAAATATCTATCTGGAAAAGATTAAATTGCTTTTGAGGAAATCGTTAATGGAAGTATGATTGTTTTCTTTCTAGCCCCAATTTTGATCCAATTTCGGGTTTTATCTCTTCTTACTTTAGCTTTGTTTGCGGCCGGACTTGAGATTTGTTGAGTTCCAGTGTTGTTTTTAGGAGCTAAACGACGAATTTTAGGAACTTGTTGAGGTCTAGTGTTTATAATTGTCGAATTGGTTAACTTTTCTTAAATATATTCAAAGTGAGACTAGATCAAGAAATGTTACTTTTATTTGAGTGATACGCTTCGAACACGCCATGATTCCTTCAAGGCTTTTGAAGAGATCTGTTCTATAGTTCAAGTATGTTTTTTTGCTCGTTTTTAATCAAGCATGTAAGCCTGAGTAACTTAGAATATATGACTTACAGGGAAATTAATATCGTCCTACAAAGATACCTTTGACATCTGTGAGGCCTTTTGAGTATACATAGAGGTAAAAGTTCTTTTCCCTACATGTTATCGTGGTGGCAGACTTCTTTGCCTAACACATTTTCAAAGTGCAGATTGTGTTAAAAGATGAAACTGATATTGATCCCAATGATCAAAACTCAATTCTCGAACATTTGGATAAAGTGGTAACTCGTAGTTCATGTGGATATTTGTTCTCCTGCCTCCTTTTTAAATAGGTTTAACAAGTCATTGAATGCCTCTAATAATATCTACAAAATTGTTAGCTCAAAGATCTAACAGAGAAAGCCAGCAAAAAGGCTGTTAACATATCAGATATCAAGCTCAAAATCAAAGGTAATTTTGTTTCCAAGTTTCCTTCACGCTGCTAGAAAGTTCTACCATCACTCTTTAGTCTAATGTTTATTAACCAAAAAAGAAAAAAAAAAGTTCCAGTAGGCACAAACACATTTGTTGTTTAAGAATAAGAAAGACCATAGAAAGACTGAGATCTGCCTTAATCTTTCAGGTAGATTACTCTGGATTTATGACGATAATCCTCAAAGGTTTGGACATATATCTGCGGGAAAGGTACCTAAAAATTAGTTACTATAACATGATGGTTCACCATTCTTTCTTGAATGTTGATTAACTTATGTCAAATTCTCAAACACTTTCATGTTGCAAATCCCCAGGACATTTTAATATTCTCCAAGGCTTCTAAGAAGGGTCGAAGCGAAGGTAGGGGCATTAGAGTAGCACAGCTGGACCATGCTATTGCGTCCTTGTCTAGTGTGATTTAGTTATCATATATTTTGATCTTTGATTTCACAGCCAACATCGATGATTCTGAGCGGCTTCATCCCGAAGAACTGAACCAGCAAAATATAGAAGCTTTAGTAGATGAAAGCAACCTGGTACGTCCTTCAATCTTCGTTCCTTATGATTCTGTTATTATGGTCAGCCGCTGTAGAACTTCATTACAGAAAGAGATAAGAGTCTTGATTAGGTTACCAAATGGGCATGAGTACACTATGGATTGATCATTCTATCCTCTTGTGCAGAAAATGGAGATCCTTCCAGTTAGCGATCTGGATGTTGCGCTTCACAACTTTGTAAACAAGATGATAAACTAGCTTTCTACTCATGCGTTCAGTACAATCTTAAAGAGACTCGTGTATGTACTTCTTTTTTCCTTCACCATTCAATACTTAGCTCTGCGTAGGATATTATTTTCTTATGTAGCATGTCCTGATTATTGTTTTTCTGATTATTCTCTTCCCAATTTCGCAGGGTAAGCTTGGAAATGATTCAGATGCCCAGAAATTTGAGGACGACGACTTGATTCTTAAAGTGGGAGAGTGCTTAGAGGCAAGAAGATTTAAATTCAGTTATTTTCTGTTGCAAATTGTGGGGAGGAATAGAATATTGATCTGATTTGCATTATTGTTTGTGCAGGAACGCTTGAAAGATAGGTCCACTCGACCAAGTGGTTCTTCACAGTTTTTATCCACTGGATTGAGATTCTTGTCCTTTTACGTTTTGTTTATGTATCTTATGCTGAAACACATGCAAGCCGATGTTCCAAGCTATGATCTCATAAAGTTTAGGGTTTATATTGTCTCTTTCTCCTTTTGGTGTTTTTTTAAAACCTTTTATACATTTACATCTACAAAACTGAACTGTAAATGAATAAAAAATTATATCGTAAACCTTCTTAAAATTTTAACCTTAATGTGATATATGCGCCTGGTCTATTAATCAGCATCCTGGAAGGACAGACAATGATATCAAGAACTACAGGAACACAAAACTGTAAAAGAAACTTCTCGGAAGACGGACACAAATGAATCGTCAAGATACTACTGAAAACAACATCGGTAACAACAACAAGAACCCTCAGAATCTGAGCAATTCGGCGATGGAGAGGCTTCAGTTACACATGCAGCTTCAGAATCTACAGAGTCCTTTCTCTAGTTTCTATGATAACCCTATCTTGTTGCCCAAGCTTCCACCCTCTAGGAGTCAACGTTGATCAATCATATGAAGTTAGCTGAGATCAACAATGGAGTCTTTTCTCTCTACTCAGAGAACATAGAGCAAACCGTAAACCCTGCTCAAGATTTCAACCTAATTTCGGTTTTTCGCAGGACCTTCTAGTAGATAATCATCATAACATGGACCTTATAGCAGAGGTGGTTCAAAAGAACTGGTTCACATGGGTAACGAGTTTGAGCTAACGAACGGTTGTAGACTTGTAGTTGGTGGTCAAAGGAAGTGGAGCTAGAGAGCAAAACTATGTGAGATCAGCTTATGTTCTTGATCAGACGTCTGAAGGAATGGTTATGCTTCAACATTACGTCTGAATTATTATTGATGATATATAC